GAAAATGGATGAGAAAAACACATTAAGTTAAAAAGCCAGATTCAGAAAGAAAAATATTGTAAATTTTCTGTCATAAGAAGGACCCAGAGTTCTTTTTTAAAGCATGGAAATAGAAGGGAAATTGTTTGGGAAGAGGAAGAAGACAGGGTGAGGAGGTGGGCATTCTCTTACCTTCCTACTGGACATATTCATTGATAAGTGGACATATTATATAGCCTGTGGGTCTAGAAATCCTTTTTTTTTCTTCCAGGCTTTCTTAGGCTTTATGTGGAATTTTTTTGCCCCGCGTTGGTGCCATTTGTAATTGGAGGCTACTTTTTCTCTCCCGGACACCCAGACTAGAATAATTACATAGAGATTATATTAATTACAACACTGTTTGGCCTATTAGCTCAGCCTTCTTATTAACTAGCTCTTGCATCTTAAATTAGCCCATTTCTCTCAATCTGTGTATCACCATGAAGCTGTCGCTTCCCAGAAAGGTTCCAGCTTTGTCATTCTCCTTTGGCAGCCACATGGCATCATCTTCATGACTCTACCTACTCTCTCTCTAAATATTTTCCAGCCTGGATATATTCTGCCCTGCCACAGGCCAAAGCAACTTCTTTATTAACCAAATGGTAATAAAATATATTCACAACATACATAGGAAAATCCCAAACCAATTCACACCATTAACTACAAAATATATTCTTGAATTAGGCTTTTAGTTCTTAACATCCTAAATTAAGGTTCAGTTCAATTACATAAAGACACTAGAATTAGCCCCAGGCAAAATCTTGCTTAGCTTAGCACTCCAAATTGGAAGCACCTGTCTGTTCTGGTCCTTTCTATAGACAGTGCATCGAGTTTTTAATCTCTATCATCTTTAGAAATAGCACTTGATACTAACATTGAATTTAATGCATCTGTTAACAAAATATCATTTTCACTTTTATTGTTATTGAGAATTAAAGTCAATTATTCGATTATTTTCCAATGAGTGCTTGTCCAATCAAAATCACTAAGAAAAGAAAATCAATCATGTGCTTAGCTTTTAACTTTAGGCTTTGGCTTAGTTACCAAATATAAAGAGGTGATTAATAAATGAATAAATAAATTGGATCAGAAAGTGGCTCACTGATATCTTTTTATGTGAAGATCCTATGAGCTGATCATGGCTGAGAATTTGTTGACGAGAAAGATGCTTCTGATATCGGTAGGGTTGTTTTTTTTTTTTTTCCGCTCAACACAAACATAGGCTGATCTCGATTTAAGAGAGGACAGACTTGCTATACCTCTCTTTTAAATTGGGGTATTTGAGAAGAGACAGCTGGTTTCTAGGAACTTGGAAGATACTCATCATTCAAGTATTTCCCATGGTGCTATGTTCATAAAGCAAAAATGCTAATACAGCATAAGAAAGCTCGGGGTTCAAAACTAGAATCAGTTTTGAAACAACGTTTTTATCTTTTTCTACATCAGAGTTAATGTTTGCAAAATTGTACCACTGTAGCTGTGTTTGCCTTTCTCCTACCGTTTATATAACTCCTGACTTGGTCACTGTCACCTTTTGATCAGGAATCTTGAACTTGAAGCTCTTCATCTTGAAAGCAGAGATAACATGTGTTTTTCCTGCAAGCACACCTTACTATGTCTTGCCCAAGCCCCTACGGGGAGTTTATTTCTGTCCGGTTGAACAAGATGCATGAGGTCCCGGGCACACTAACGAGGTATTAGACCAGACAAGGCAGTGTCAGTTCATATGGTCACATTCCAGCCTCTGTCACAGACCCTCCTGGAAGTGATCCTGTCTTGTTTTTGTTTGGACAGAATGGGGACTTTTGGTCAAATGTCTGTTCAAGCTGGGAAGGGCTGGCTGTCGGGTGCACACATCTCTGTAGCGGAGGCAGCTTTGCTGGCTCTTCTGTGGCAGAGCTGTTGCTCCACGAATTTCCCACTAAGTGCAGTTTGCTTTGATGATAGAGACACGCCCCCAGCCTATGAGAGGGTGGCAATATAACTAGATGCCCTGTGCAGCTTATCTTGAATTCTGACCCTGGGACTCTATGGCCTTCTTCACGCCTGGTCACAGCTTCTGGTACGTTCTAGACTTGGAAACAGTTTCACTGGTGCTCATACAAAGCTGTTACCCTTCTCTGTCGTCTTGTGTAGGTATGACACTTGGCCAGGATCAAGGCTCAGATAGGCCGGGGTTTCCCCCTGTCACCCTTCACGTAAGGAGCAGGGATTCGCACACCACCCTCCGAGACTTGAGATACTGCAGAAGTATGTAGCTTCTCAAGAAGATATTCTTGGGGCGTGAAGCCAGACAGTTGCCTCAGTAACCTTGCAAATGTTTCCACTAACAATGCCGATTTTTCCTCCCCAAACCTGTTTAGCATACTTAGAAAACTAGTGATTTCCGTTTGAGTCCTGCCTTCCCGATTCGGTGACAGTGTTTTCAGGGTCCGATGACATCATGCGGTCACATTTTCCTGTGTTGATGCATTGTTTTGGCTGGTTGAAGGTAATGCCTAAATCCAGAGTTCCCTGGGACCATAGCCAAGAAACATTCAGCTACTTAGCCAGAGTTAGTGTCTGTGGGAGCAGCTCTGGGAAAGGCTGTGATGGCTCTGTGACCAAAACCACATAATCAAATTGTCTTGTGAATAAAGGCCTTCCACAGGACATCAGGAAAAACACAACATAATACTTGTAGTGAAAGCTTTAATAATAACCTTAATCCAGTAGGAAAACAAAGGGGCAAATTTGAAAGGTAACTTTTTAAAAAATTGGTTTATAGTTACTTAAAAAATTAATTAAATCAGGTATTGCTTTTCATAGTAGAACTTCCAACAAATCTCTTTAGCATACATTTTTTTTTTTTTCGAGACAGGGTTTCTCTGTGGTTTTGGAGCCTGTCCTGGAACTAGCTCTTGTAGACCAGGCTGGTCTCGAACTCACAGAGATCCGCCTGCCTCTGCCTCCCGAGTGCTGGGATTAAAGGCGTGTGCCACCATCGCCCAGCTTTATTTTTTTTTTTTTTGAGACAGGGTTTTTCTCTGGTTTTGGAGCCTGTCCTGGAACTAGCTCTTGTAGACCAGGCTGGCCTCGAACTCACAAAGATCCGCCTGCCTCTGCCTCCCGAGTGCTGGGATTAAAGGCGTGCGCCACCACGGCCCGGCCTTTAACATACAAACTTGAGTCTACTTGGTATGCATTATTCCTAACGAGTGCCATTACGCCTGTCCTGCGTACTTAGATTTAATAAAATGTACTGAGATCAGTCCTTAATAAGGAAAGTACAGACACGATGTGTGCTCAATTAAGAACTCGCCCCCTTACAAACGAGATTACACTACTGAAGCTGTCCTTATTGCAGCAATGCACGGCTGGGAGCAGAAAGGCAAGAAGTGTGTGCCTGCTCCATTGCAAGTGTGCATTTTTTTTTTTTTTTCAGCAAGAAAACACTTGGTGTAGCGGAAAGGCTGGTGTGAACCATTAAACCTTTGCCTGTCATGGCTACACATACATTTTACGTCTGTCGAATAAACAAACCGGGCAGCCCCGGAGGTAGAAGTACTCCACTCAGAAACACCCTGCACTTCCCAGAGGATGGGCTGCTCGTTGATGTATTTTGGATATGTAACGCACAGCAAAATCATATTTCAACGTTCTACCTAACGAGAGGTTTAAGTGGCACCAAAGATAAATGTGATACAAGCCATCCACTATAAGGCACTTGCTCCAGAGATTCTGCAAGACTCCTAGACACAAGAAAACTAAATTCAGTACCATTTTGGCCGCTTGGCACCCTGCTCAAGGATGAACAAGATTGGTGGCACTTTCTTTTATATTTTGCAGCGTGTGTCCTAGAACTCAATAGCCATGAAAATGGGTCTTCAGCATTAGATCCCATTCCAGGCAAACCCCAGGTCGTCTGTCATCACTTCAAGCTTGATTTCCTAGATATCAGATTGGCAGCAATCATGTCTTATGTTTGAAAAGTACGTCTTTGGTTATTTTAATAATTGCTGTTAGGACGAGTGGACGTGAAAATATAATGCGTTGGGGGTTAGATTTCTATTTCTTATGCAATAATATGCAAGTAGAAAATATTAAAGCTATATTTGTGTTCATTATGATGTATTCACTCAGAAATGATAGCATAATAGAATTTTAGGCACCTCACCATTAAACTAAGTCAGTGCATTATGGGCAAATCCCCTAAACTGCTAACTCAGAGGAAAGGGGTTGCTTCAGATGTTCTCCTGGACCGAGGTACATAGCAATCTCTAGGGAATTTGAAATCACTTTGCTATTAAATTTGAAAATCAGTGCCTCTAGCGCTCAGGAAAATGTGCTAACAGCATTACTTGTTAGGGAAGAACTGTGGTTTCCCAGGTGCCTACCATTTCAGGAGAACTTGTAACTCTAGGACTATATACCACTGCCAACTACAATGCATTTGAGATTGATTTTACAAAATAAATAGATTTTAGGTCAAGATAGAGAGAAATAAAACAGAAGATACTATTCTGCTTTGTATGTATAAAATGAAATATGTCTTAAGTTCCTACATCAAACTTTTGTGTTGTCATTACACCTCAATAATAAAGTAAAAAATTCAAAAACCCACAATTAATCATTACAACACAAAACCATGATGCCTTTCAAAAAACGTGAAAACGCTTTAATACACTTTATAGTCTCTACACGTTTTATGAATAATTTCATTTAGCTTTAAGTACATTTGATTAACGAAATTCCAATTTACAAAATTGAAGTAAATAAATGCAGAAATATCTTCATTGTCAAACTATAAAATAAGAGTAGCTGTTCTTATTGAGACACTCATTTTTGTCTTTCTTTAGATATTGGAGTTAATCATTTCGGTATATTAAATAATGTTTACCATATTTAAAATAGTGGAGCATTGAGATTTGAATACAATGACAGGAATCCACTGAAATTTCACATTCACAGGTGAAATAGCCACCATGAATCCGCAAGTGAATGTTGATATTGTAAAAAAAATATAAAATGATTGTAATATTACCATCTAACCTTAGCATATGGACTTTTGAGACCACTATTGAATCTGCTAATTCTCTTTGAAATAGAAGCCATCACTTTTCTGTGATATGTGACGTGTCTTTGTCCCTTAATAATTTGAAATTTCATTTGTGTAAAAATATACCAAAGTAAATAAAAAAAAAGGAGACGCTTATTTACAAAACAATGTTGTATACATATTATATAAATGCGATTGTTTCAGAGTCTTTTATACAATAGTGATAGAATCAGTCATTTATTTCCATGATTTTGCCGCAAAACTTCGATGTGACGAAGGCAGACCGGGAGTTTGAATGCATGCTAGAAATGGACACTGAGGCTGCCTTTTGAAGACAAAGTTTCTCCCACTGTGCTAGAGAACTGAAAGTTGACCTCTAAAAAAAGAAAAAAAAATCTTCTTTAAAGAAAATGCATCCCCAATCAGAGCTGCATGGCAATGCGCTTGATATGGGGAGAGGCGTATCTTACAGAGTGTGCTCTGTTTGAGGAACCTGGTAGGAGCCATTCCGCCCATGGCTTTAGCGCCCCTGGCATGGGTTAGTAATACCATGTCCAATTAGAATAGGAATGGGGGCGTTTGGAGAGGCCGCCATTCCAGTTCTGTGGAATCTTAGCATACCAAGGGTACGATACAAATAAACAGTGTACATGAATAACAGCCCTGCGCTTCCCAAAGGCTACATAATGATTTTTTTCCGTGAATATTAATTGAAACTGTTGAGAAATAAGACTTTACCTTTAAAGCATACCCCTTTAATTCGGCAGACCACAAGAAGCGCCGTGTTCTTGCCTGCCGAGATTGTAGTTGTGAGATCTATATATGTGAACAAAAATGCGATTTGATCTCCTCCTAGCTCAGAACCTCTGGAAATCATAAAATGTCCTATTGTATGGTTTATTTGGGATGGTTAAGTGGCTACCATTGCAAACATTCTCTCTTCTAGTTCCTCCGCTGTAGCTTGTGCTTAAGTTACTATCGCATACTCAAGGCCTAGAGCCTGTGGTACATAATTTCACAGTTTCAAAATTGAGGGGGAAGACCTTCCATGGCTTAGGAAGCCCTGGACATACCGCGAAGCTCACGAGCACCCGCAGCGATCTACAACCATGGCTGGAATTTTCCCGTATATGATTTGTTCTTTGCCATTAAAATATAGCATATTAATAGGAGACATTTTGGTGGGTGTGCAGCAAGGGCCCGCTGAGCCCCGGGGGTTTGCTTGGTGCACAAGGTGAGTATGGGGATATTTTTGTAAAAACACAAATTCACACTCTCCGGAGCAGTAATTGGCTTTATATCTCTTGGGCGCAATGATCCAGTCCCATCCGAATGCTTCAAAATCCACCGTGAGCGGGTAGCGGCAGCAGCGGGACTCGGTGGAGTGTTCGTCGCAATCAAGACCGAAGTCTCGTCGGGACCTTTTGGGCGTGTCCGTTACTTTGACCTCTAAGAAGGGATTCTGTGTGAAAAGGAAAAGGGCAATCGTGTTAACCGAGCCGGGTATCCTTCCCACCTTAGAAGCCGTCCTTAGAAGGAGCCTCATTCTCACGCTGCCGATGTAAGAATAGAACAACAGCCAATATTTCCCTGCGGTCAGTTCACGCTCCGTCTGTTAAACCTTTGCTTCTTTTCGTATTGTTATCAGACACAGGAGCAGATAATAGCGTAAGAGAGGCTTTGAAATGTGTGCACAAGGCAAGAGAAAGGCGGGAGGGATGAACGCCGCCTCCGGCACTGTGGATTACTATCAGCTGCTCGTGTCTGAGGACTCTTGGAGGGATGCGTACCCATCTGGTCTCTCTTCCTAGGTTTTTGCCCAAAGAAATGGGTCTCTTAAAGTCAGAACAAAATAGCTACCTCTGGGTATGAATGTGGCTTGGTGGAAAGAGGGTTCACCTCTCATGTGCAAGGTCCTGGGTTCAATAAGAAGGTGATAGAGGAGGAAAGGGGGAAGTCTTTGCTTGCTCTATGACAGCCTCAATCTTTTACTGCATTTGAGACCATTTCCCTTGAGAGGGAGAACTCTAAGGAATAGCATGTTAGCCACCTTTTAAATAATTAAGGCCTAATCCATTAGCAACCTTGATAATTAAAATACTATCTTTGAAAGAGAACATTCTTAAACAGCTGATAGCAATTTCCTCTTGTATCACGAAAGTAGGCCTGCGTGCTGTCAAAGAGGGTGTCGTTTGGGGAATGGAGTGTCTCAGAAGCACATACAAAGAAAATAGGTCCTCTAGGAAACTGCAGTACTTCAAACAGTGTGCTTCGCTCCCAACAGGCCTGGCGTCTGGACCACACATCCCCAAGCTCAATCAGAGGATTAAAAAGATGTCTATTGCTTCGAAGTGTAGCATTCTGACGTAAATTCTGACAATGGGTGAAAATCAAAATATGTTCACATCAAGGTTTTGAACGTAGAAGTAAATAAAAGCCCCAGTAAGACCTAAAAATGACTTGGGTTTAAGTGGGTATTGAGCTGGGCAGTGGTGGCGCACGCCTTTAATCCCAGCACTCGGGAGGCAAAGGCAGGTGGATCTCTGTGAATTCGAGGCCAGCCTGCTCTACAGGAGCTACAGGAACCAAAAAGCTACAGAGAAACCCTGTCTCGAAAAAAAAAAAAAGTGGGTATTGAAATGCTTTTATTCATTTTTCATAGTGGATGAGTTATTCTCATATCACCGACTTGCTACTTAGTTAATCGGCAGTCCCTGTGTAAATTACTGTACAAGGATGCTGAAGTAGTTCTGAAATAAACCAGGAGGCAAAGGCTACCTGGGTTGGAAATCAGTGTTACTGGCAGCCTTCCACACGGGATCCACACAGAGACCATGGCTTCAACATTCTGTAGGCACTGAACATATTTATTAGGGGATACTGAACAGAATATATTTAATCAAGTATGTCTATACTTATAAAGGTATTATAATTAGGATTTTAATATTTTTACTTTATATAAGAAGCCAGCGTTTTTCAATGGAGAAAGCATTTCAATTGAGAAGCAAAAAAAAAAAAATGGAAAAGGGAAAAAGTTTTAATTTGTTGACTGATTCTAGATTCTGCAGAGTTATGTTGTGATGTCATAAGTTTATGCATATGGTATGTATCCCACAATGAAAAGGGCATTACATCCCATTCCCAATAAGGAATGCATGAAATTATGAACCATGATGCAACTCTTTTTCAGTCTTCATGGGAGAACTTCCCAGGACATGTGACTGGCACCTACTCTCTTGGGCACAGACCTAGTTGGTGTAAGATGATTTTGGCTGCCTTCTGAGCAGAGAAAATCGCAGCTATCTTTCCACTATTATCTTTCATATAAGGACTACAAGTACAGCGTGTTGTTAAGAGCATTGCTTTGAGTTATCACTCACCAGCCCGTCTTCCCCTGGTCCTGGGAAGGTTACAGCCAGATCTTGCCCATTCTCATCCAAAGCTTTGAGTTCAATGCCTAAGTTGGATTCAGGCTGTTTGAGCCAGTTTTGCAACACTGTCTTCACATCAATACTCTGCCAAATACCAGCGCCTGGGCTCATGTCGAGTTTCAGAGATCGGATTCCAGTGTACCTCGTACCGTCTTTCATGGGTTTGATGAGTCTCAGGATCTGCACAAACACTGTCGTGGGGGTCTTCACGGGTCTCAGATGGATCCACAGCTGGGCTTTCACTACTTTGTTGTACTGGATTTTAGAGCTAAATTTAAAAAAGCAACATTTGGGTTTTCCATCCACTTGCATTAGAAAATCAGCTACAAATGAACAAGAAAAGAATGGTTGACATTAGGTCCCATGAAAACATAAATAAAATTAAAAAAATCACTCCTTAACAATAGATGTTGGGATAATGTGTACAGATGTGGCCTTTCAAAATAGAACACGAGGTGGAACTTCCTTCATGACTCCTAAGAACTGTCAGGGAAAATAATTGCTCTAGCTCTTCGGATTTTTCTTAGATAGCTTATATTATCACGAATATATTCCCTTCTATAGAACTAGGGGCCGAGGGATATTTTGTAGGAGAATGAACGGCAAGTAGATGATGATTCAGAGAACAAGAGACAGCGTGGAGGAACATCCACTTAGAATTCTTTGGGAATCTGAGCAGTTATGCTCACTGAACAGCTGTACCAGTCACTCTGGGGGAAGGAACCCTTCCCCCAGGCCTCAATTACCTGGGGAACGAGGCACAGGCAGCAATTTAACTGAGCCTCAGAAATGACAGACAATATCGTACATCTGCGACACTCGGGCTCTGGAATAGCCTTTCAAAGGAACGACACGAAGCTGGCCAGCAATTAGCACGAAAACTCAGAAGTCATGCCCATGCTAGCTCCAAAGCCAGAAGGCAGTGGCCCTGGAGCCAGACCTCCACTGCAAGCGAAAGTTCAGCCTTAGCAATCCCTTCTCTTCTGGGCGTGCAAACAAGGGAGGCCTTCTCCTGAACGGTTGGACCCAAGAGTCATAAATGAAGATTGTTTGTTATAGCATAACCTGAGTACTTGGTGAAAGACCGGTTTGAGAGCAGGTCGTGTCTGCTTGGAAGTGCTTAAAGCGCGGCGTTAAAGCCAGATCTCAGACACATGGCACGGCACTCTGGCGTGTGGAGAGAAGGGAGAAGGGGGACTGCCTGAAACGGGCTAGCTCCCAGAAGCAGTGCTGTTCTTAAAGGTAATAGTCCTCCCCCTCCTAAAGAATAAAACGTTTTTAGAAGGCTATAGCCGCTGCTCCCGTGGAAGTACGCAGCCCGGACGCTCTCAGCCCAGGGCTGTGTGGACGCAGCACAGGCAGGCTTTTATAGCATAACCTCCCGATTACAACGCTCATTTCCTGAGCGGTTTCTGCTACTCGCTCCTGAGTATGATTTTGCCCTGTCTGCTTCATCGTTTCTCTCGCTAACGCATTGGATGCTTGCCTTCCTTAACGCTTTGTTGGAGAAGCTCTCATCACTAAGTATTCTAATTTGTAGTTTCAAGTCCCAGACGTGTGGAACAGGGTTCAAAGAAACACCCAGCAAATTTCTTTCTGTGGTGTTAGTGGGGGGAAACTAATGTATGTTTTAGGCAAACAGATGCAATTGTAAATTCCATGTGAGTTTTAACATTGCTTACAGTAGCTCGCAGTCCTTGCCTTGTGAGTATTAGGCGCCGAGCACATAAACACACTCCACATTTTCCACATAAAATCACACACTATTAAAGCGGGGCCGGCACATTAACTTTGAGGTATCTGGCACCGGAAGGAAACAAGCAAGGCAGATTTCCTTGTCAATATGTTTCTCAGGAAATCTTGAAGGAGGAGGGGAAAAAAAAAAAGAAAGAAAGAAAATCTCTTTTCTCTCCTACTTACATACAAGCTAAAAGCCTGAAAATAGATCTGCTTCTCATAAACACTAGGGCAGCCGTCAGCGGAACCTTGGTCTTCTCTCTCTCTCTCTCTCTCTCTCTCTCTCTCTCAGCTACTTACACGCTGTAGGCATAGTAATGATGGTCTCCGTGGTAGCGTGGTAATCGTCGTCTTCCAAAGCCCCGTCGCTGCTATCGTCCCTCTGCACGTCGTACTGATCGATCAGCTCCCGGAGCGGAGGAGCGCGGGGCAGAAGTTGCCTGATAGCATCTTTGCTGATGTTAGGAGCCGTTTCCAGGCGGAGTTTGCTGAGGATCTGGATCTTGATGGCTTCTATTCTGGAGTCCCTCGTGTTTTGTCTCCAGACGCACGCATTGCACAGCCCCTCTCGCTCCACACCCTCCTCCCGCTCGCTGCCCTCATTGAGATCCACTGGGCCAGCAACAATCAACATGAAGAGGCAAATATATACATACATCTGCAGTTTTTGCATCATTTTCAAAGCAGCGCAGTCTTTTTTTTTTTCTTCTCCCCTTGCTCTGATTTCTTCCTTCTTCTGCTTTTGAGTAATGCCAAGCAAGATCTTAGTGCCTGTCCGGTTGTGAGAGAGAACCTGCCACGCCAGTGAGTCCTGGATACTGTATTCCAAGTGGCTTTTTATATTCCGGCTTAGATGAGACAAGTGTCGTCAGGATCTATGATTGGCCCCTGCTCCACAATGAATCTCGCTGTCAGAGGTTAAAACCCTGTCTGTCACAAGTCACCGAGCAGTATTTTGTTACAGTCGAGGGGAAGCTGATTCATTTGACTGCTTCATAGATGAAATAAATCCCCATATCGTGAAAGATATATGTGACATTTGATGAATTAAAGTTTGTGTAAGAATATAAACGGTAGTGAAAGCTTATTCATCTTTGTGAAACTCTCGCTGTCACTTGAATTAGTAAATCTGAGTTTACACTTCAGGTTTAAAATGCAAAACGTCAGTCTTTTGGAGAGTTGGCATGCTGTTTGTTAGTAAAGCAAATATTTGAGAGAAAATTGTATCAAGGGCTGAGCAATTAGAGAAGGACAAATTAGGAAGAGTTGACCGAATTGAAGAAAAGCTAAGGTTTGTGAACCTGGTAGAAAAGTTGCACGGGTAATTTGAGAAGTTTGTTTTCATGGCTTATCTGTTAGTACGTATTAAAATCAGCCTCACTCCGCTACAGGGCACACGAATTTATTTTGATAGCTTAACGTCTTTTGCTACCATGGAAGCTGTGCTTGATTTCAGCTAGTCAGTGTTGCTCTTGTCTATCAAAAAGACACGGGCCAAATCCTTAGTGTTTCTTTGTTGCTTATTACCAGCGGGGATAATGTTAGCTGAGAGGCTGCGCTGCTTCGCGTAAGCAAAGAATGGATTTTTGTCAGTGGCCCCGAGCGTGATTACACTTTTTGACTCAGACCTCTAGGGCTGAAAGCAGCAGCCCGCAGCCTGTTCTTTATGAATTATGTCAGGTCCTGCGTGCACACAAAGAGAAAGTGGCAGGGAGAGGGTGCCCTTTGTTGCGTTCCCCCCCCCCACAGTCATAGGTTAGCACCCCTTTTGCCGGAGGCTCATTTTGACCAGAGGGCAGACACCTGGCAGGGATCTGGGGCAGGCAGAGAATAGTGCTTTTTTTTCTCCGCATTTAAGTGGCCTCTATAGGGATCAAACTCTCACCCTTGGCTTTAGGAGCCACAAGATCTAACGGGGTGAGCTATGAAAGAGCTGAACGAACCAAACAGCAGGAACAGAGAACATTTCCAGGCCACAGCTTCCCTCCTCCTTGCGGGGAAGCCCGGAGCAATCTTCCGCGCTTTAACCCATTACTCCCCCCACCCCGAGCGAATACAGTGGCTCGTATCAAATATTTATTTTTAGGTCACCTCCATTCTTGCGCACCCATTTACTGCCTCGGTGCACTAACATGCGACCCAGTAGCTTGAAAAGTTAATGTGTTTCCCTCATGCGCTTAAGAGGCGTCTCATCTCTTGAGAGAGAAAAAAAGTGACCTTCCATAATGCACTGGATTTGCCCGTCATTAAAGATTAAGGAAAACCAGACGCCCTGGGGTGTTCAGGTCCTCTTTGTGCAAGACAATATTAGGGCAGGCCTATAAAGTTGAGGTCGCCTGGAGAAGTCGTTTCCAACGTAGAATTCCTAGTGGCATTGTAATGATCACAACACAGGCAGCTGTAGACCCCGAGTAAATCAGTCCCGCTTATAAACCTGCTTCAAACCGCAGTGCGCTTGCGAGCTCAAGCTGCAGAGTCAGACACACAAGTTGGAATCTCAACTTTGCAACTTATAACTCGGTGACAAAGATGGGGTGGCCAGAACTTAATTTCTCGTACGCTTCTTTTCCTCGTAGGGATTCGAGGCATATAATCTAGCAATACGTTGCTAAGTGTAAGCCCTTCCTACGGGAACTAACACCTGGAACTCTTGCTCCTTGTTCCCTGCCCGTTGCTGCAAACTCTCCTCAACTGCCCCACATCAAGGCCAGGGATTGCGGTCTCACCTGCTATCTTGTTAGGCCCAAGAAGCAAGCCCAAGTACACCATTCAGCTTTTTTTTTCTTACTAGCTAGAATAAAGCAAACAAAGGTTGTCATTTGCCACATAGTCGATTCTCATGATTTGTGGGTTCCATTTTTTTTTTTTTTTTGCAATTTGCCTACTCACTGACTTTATTTTTTATTTATTTATTTATGTTACATATATAGTGTTCTGGGCACCAGATCTCATTATAGATGGGTGTGAGCCATCATGTAGTTGCTGGGAATTGAACTCAGGACCTCTGGAACAGCAGTCAGTTCTCTTAACCTCTGAGCCATCTCTCCAGCCCCTCATTGACTTTATTTCTAAAACTCGAGGCTCCTGGCGCTTTCCACATTATTCTCTGCCATCCACTGAGCAGAAAAAATGCTAAGGGCAACGAGAGAGGGTTCCGCCAGCCGCACAGATTCCCAGCGGAGGCTGCACAGGGCGGGCCCTGCATCCTTCCTTCCGCTCTGGATCAAGTATCCAGCTTGTTAACCACGTTGTCTACTTTCTTAAGCTTTTAGCTGTCCTTGCTGTCTGCTGCTTGTTGAACACAGCATTGAACGGGGTGCTGAAACCCTGGGCCCGCATCCTTGGGCACGGGAGGCTGAGGGGAGAGGAGGATGGAGGTTGCCAGGGCTCAGGCAGGAGTGGTCACTGCTGAAGAGTTAGAGCCGGGCAGTTTGGAAGAGGAGAACGTTCCGATAGATGGAATTGTCCAGGCTGAGCCGCATTCTGAGTACACAGAACTCCATTCAACTTAGGACTTTTCTATCTATAATTTACAGCCATCTTTTTTAATGCTGTGATGTGTCTCTTGTAAAGAACACGTTTCTTTTGAGAAAACAGACAAGTTAGAGAAATCCCAGGCCCGAGTTTGCTGCTTCTGAGCGGGACTTCATTGGTGATGGATGGATAGACGCAGTCTTTTGAGTGTGATGCCCGTCTACAGGTGCACACACGCAAGGCAATTAGATCATGAATAGTCAGGACCCTGGGGCTCACCGCACCCTGCGTGTTCTCTGGGAATGGCTGCAAGCATTCGTGAATTCAGGGTTGGCCATTGATGGGACTTCCTGATGCCTCTTCCCACACTCTCTAGTGCACAGGTTACGAAGTGTTCGGTCAGTTTCAAGAATGTCGGCTCCTTCTCTTGTGGTGACGATCAGCAACTTCCCAAGGCCCGTGACATGGGGGCCAGGGTGGAGGTGAGGGGGGGTCTCCTTCCTTTGGCCCCAGAGAGGAGGCTGCTCTCATCATGGAGACAGGGCAGTGTAACATTGGGATTCGTAAAGAGAGGGGAATTTCTTCAACTTGCCTGGGAGAACTTGGTCTTCCAGCTTGCTGGCCCTGGCTTAGTCACCGCCTTGGGAAGCTGTTGGTCACACTCTCGGGTCAGAAAGGTCGGAGGCAAGGCGTGTTTCCTGGTCTTCTGCTAGTCTTTGTCTTGGTGGGCTCTCGTGGGCCCCTTGTTTTCTGAGCGCATCAGCGAGGGAGCCAGCATGGTTCTCTGACCTCTAACCTCTATTCCAAAACCCACACACTATTGACCTCTAACCTCTATTCCAAAACCCACACACTATTGACCTCTAACCTCTATTCCAAAACCCACACACTATTTCACAACACACGGGAGAAGAGTATAAAATAGTTACCAAAAAAAAAATAATATAAAAGCTTATGATTTTACTCTATCTAGATTCTGGGAACTACTGACCTGCAAGAACGTTCCAAAAATAAAGGAAGAGACAGGTAGGAATTCGGATCAGAATATTTACCAAAATAGTCGACTATTTTCGGAAAAAAACGCACACGAAGTTAGAGTTTATCTGGTGGCTCACCATCTCCTTCAGAGAACGTTGCAAAGCTCTCAAACTTGCCACATTGTGACAAAGGGGGACTCTGCATGAAGGACATCTGGTGTCAATGCTTCTCATAGGTTACAAAAGTTAGCCCCAAGCACTGTCGAACTCAGCCCTTCAATTTACAGGAATAGAAGACAGGAGACCCTAACAAGGCTTTGGGTTTGCAACTGGTGCTTTAGATCGCCTCAAAGAAGTCAGTTATCAGAGCCTTCATTTGTGGCTTTATCTATGGATGCGTGAATCTATCATTTTAGGAACTATTTGAAAACCCTCTCTGCGATTAGTGCTGATGTTTGATTATAAAGATAAAACACTGGACCAAGTACAATCACTTTTCATGAACCCTGTGATCTAGCGTCTTCATATAAAATCTGAGTAGGTGTGCACGCCAGTTCAACTGAGATAGGTCCCTAAGTTAGTGATCCTTCGACTTCTCATCCTCAGTGTCTTTACAATCTGAAAATGACTAAAGTTCCCACAGATCTTTTGTAGGTACGGGTCCTATCGGTCAATATTTAATGCAATTCAAAACTGGAAAATCTTAGTGTAGAGGCATAAGCAGACATACACTAAATTTGATGACAGATTTTTTTTTTCTGAGGAACGAGGGAGAAGAGAAGGAGAGGGAGGAGAAGGAGGGAGTTCATGTGTGTGTATCACAGGCTCACAGGCATGCAAGGACACACTGAGATAGAGCCAGGTCCCCTGGAACTGGAGTTGTGAGCTGCCTGAGGTGGGTGCTGGGAACTGAACCTAGGTCTTTTTGCCAAAGCCATAGCCCCTGCTCCATCTGCGTAGCCCCCAGAGTTTTGATCTTGCTGTTGTGTGTTGGTTAGACAACATCAGTTGTGTTGGGTTTCATGACAGTTTCCTATACCCATAAACTTTGATCATATTTAACCCTTTATAAACCCTTTCCTGACTTATTTCCTCCTCTTCTGCCACGCCTCTGAAGTTCCTTTCCCAGCAAATGAACAGCAGCATTACGTTGAGACGCGGATCCTCTGGAGAACTCCATTGTACACAGAAGAAATGACGTCAGAGGAAAAGGAAGTGGTTTCAGAATTGCTGTGAATATGGTCTTTCACTTCACAG